CCAAATGGAAGCCGATGAACTGGGCTTGACCGCTTGGTTGGACATGGGCCTGTTGACAGGGCAGGAATGACGCTCCGCGTTCACATGTGAGTTGAAACTAAACGACAAGCGACTACTGAAGCTAGGTGGGGGACGGCCGAGAATTGGGGGTTGAAAACAGGGGGATAAAAGTGAAGCTGGAACGGGACGATAAGGGTGAAAAGGCGTAAGAGGGGGAATAAGAAGACGGGAAGGCTTGAGTAGTAGCATAAAAACCCCTATCCACCCTGCTCGATGCAGCAGATAGGGCACCGTTGATTATCCTCTGCGGTGGCCAGAGCATCAGAAATTTGATTGAAGTGCGATTCGTTGTATTGCGTGGGCAGGATACTGTCAGGTTGCCCAGGCCTAGACAGGAGAACGATTAAGGTTCTCAACCAAAGCCTTTGGTTCAAAAACCTGTCCGCAAGGCAGCGGGTTTGGCATTGGGCTACAAGGAGTCCGTTTTAAGGAATAAGGAGCCACCCTCATTCCAACCCCCAACCTGGAGGGGCAGGAGACTGAGTTTGTCTGGCCTCTAACCATTGACCAATCTGGTATGAGTGGCTCTGAAGGTGCAAAAATGCACCACCCAGTATAGCTCAATGGATCACTGAGGCACATAAACCATCGCAACACGGTATGGTCCAGCCTCATTGCGATGGCCCAGCATAAGTAGTAAGTGCCAATGCTAACGCAACTTATTCAACCCGATTTGTCGTCGGCAAGTGAGAAGTTGTGATAAATTTCTTTTCGATAAATCTCATCAAGCAATTACAATTAAGAGATGCATAATCGTTGGAATTGAGGCTATCACTAGAGATGAGGTGTTCTGTCGTGTATGCCGCCACCCGAGGTACGGTGGCGATCATTGACCGTTCAAACACAGTGGCATTGACCACTATGCCTGAAGTCTGCTGGTCATGATAGGGACCCGGGAGGGTTAAACTTTGCATAGTGCACGCTATTTATACAGTTCCGGCACTATAGCCACTTGATCACAATTGCTTCTGCCATGGCCAGTAGACGCCTTCTGAGTCCTTTTGGGCTGCGTTTTGATGCAACAACCATTGTTTTGAAGGCATCTTTTGTTTGTATTTCATGCCCACTATCTGCTGGGCGTTGCAGGATGGAGCTGCGGATATTCCTGCTCGTAATACGTGGTAGTGAGGCAGGACAGTATTCCGCTATCCGCTTTGACAGACGTCTGGTTGTGTGTCCAAGTTACATCGCGTCACAGGTGCAAGTGAACTGATACAGAACAAAGGATTCGAACTGGGCCGGAATTTTGTCCTCTAGGTGGTGGGTGATAAGCGGAACGGTTTCGTCATGAATGCGGGCTCTCGCGGCCTGGTACGTATAGCTTCTAAGTCCTTGTGTCGTACTACGGCTCGTAGGGCTAACTGCTGTCCGCTGCACGGTTCGCAACTGGCATGACCGTGGTAGATGAGCCGGGGTATACCATAGTCAACTGTCAATCACGCAGGTCCGCGGATGTCCCCCATGGCGAAGTGGCACTAGTTGCTGGCATCCGGAAGTTATGGGGGCGGAACCCGGAAGGATTCCGCTGGAAGGCGCACCACTGACGAGACTCAGAAGGTCGAAACACCGGTGACTGGTGCTTTTCCAGACTAGCCAGAGTTTGCTGACTGAGAGTGGACCGTGATGAACTATCTCCAGTCATACCAAACCCCCACTACGCATTAGTGATGATACTATGTTTAAAGTGTCAATAATTGCCACCGTTTCTCTAGTGGAAGCATTTACGACAGATCACCGCATCACTAGTGATAACTTTTATTCCATCGATTACGCATCTCATAAATGTAACTGCCGGATAAGATCTATCGAAAAGAGATTTCTTCGCATTTTCCTTTTGCCATCTAATGGGCATGCTCTATAAGTAACTAGTTGCCCCAGGATGCCCTATGCACCGAACATCGCCCTCTCGCTCTAAGGACAATGAGCACCAAAGGAATAGAATCTCGGTCGCCATACACCATTCGGGAACCTTTGTTTGCGGCGCTATCAAGTCATCGCATCAGTCACTGGATATTCGAGAGGTTAGCGAACTTGTCAGAAACCAAAAGAAAACTCGCTGTTGGGTCTGAGCATAATGTAACGGGACAGACTATTAGGCATGAAATAAAGCAATATGGCTCAGGAAATGGAGGAGGCCGGAGCAGTAGGCAATTACAGTAAGCTCTTCCAAATGATCTGCACAACTGGACCCAAGAAAGCATGTGTCAGTGAGACAGTCAGAGACAGAAATGGCGTCATGACAGTATGAAGTGTCGTATGGCTATTTGGGCGAAGCACCTTCGACAGCAGTTCAATTGGCCTCGTGCTGCTGGGTCACTACATACTCTGGTGATGCAGGCTAAGCCATGGCTGTTTGGTTTGGAAGCTCTACAGGAGGCTGAGGTCAGAAACGCGAACACAGCTGGTCCAGAGTTCCTTGGGCCCGCACTATGAGTTCCTCTGCAAAGCACTAGCACAACTGTTCGAACAGATCTGAGAGGAGGATACCATCTCAGCTAACTAGGATGAATCGATTAGATCATAGCAGCAATATACGAAAGTGCGTCGTACCGGCTATGCTAGCCACATGGGTATTAGCCAAAAGCAAGTGATAAAAAGATTACGAGCCTCAAGTTTCGTTCGTCGCGTCAATGCGGAACGGGAATTTCGGATTAGTGAAGAGAAAGCAGGTTTCCGCCCAAGATGAAGCTGTACAGATCGTGTATGCACTTTGCTGCAGATATTAGAACAGCGCCACACGTGCCGCAGATGGACAATAGCAGCGTTCCTCGAATGCAAGAGTATGTTCCACTTAGTCAATCAATCCAATCCGTTGGAGATACTTGTGCTGCAAGATGTTCCCATGATACTTGTGGACATTTTACGTGTCATGTACTCGAACACCACACGTCATGTCATAGTCTACGGCGAATTGCCGGACATCTTTTTGATGACAAGTGCTGTTCGTCAGGGTTGTCTGATTTCACAACATTTGTATAATTTTGTTGCAGACTCTACCGATGATTGCTACCTTGCGGAATCTCATGATGCGGGTGTTAAGGTACTGCCTAGTGGAGAGTTAGCTGATCTTGGTTATGCGAAGGATATAGTTTTACTGTTTAATGACTTTGGGATGGCCTAATCAATTTCAGACAACCTCTCGAGAGTGGTCCCGAGATCTAGTATGCGCTTCGCACTTTCAAAGTGCAATGTGTTGTCGCAGGATCACCAGCCACTTGATGATCCATAGACTCTTGATAGCGCAGAACTTGAGGTAGTTTATCAATTCACTTACAACTGGCAGCTGCATCGGCAACAATGGGTGCATAACCACTGAAGTCAGTTCACGTAAGGCAAAACCCAAATGTTGCTTCATGGACTTGCAATATTTGTGACACCAGAAGGAAATTTGTTCAAGTCTGAAAGGCATTGTGCACAAGGCCACAAGCGAAGGCCGTAAGACTTAACCCCCTCGGTCTGAGATGCCTTCAAATCTTTGATTGCAGCTGCCTTCGAAGCATTGGTGGGGTCGGATGGCACAAACGTGTTCGCAAAGATAATGTGCGTAGACGAGTACTAGGTAGGGATAGTCAGGCTAGTACTTTAAAACAACAGATAGCATTGAGTAAGTTGCGTTGACTTAGGCACGTGATACATATGCCCGGTCACTGCTTATCGATGAGAGCCTTGTTTTATTCGCTAAGTGCAGGATGGCGCAAGGCTCGGGATTAGTAGAAGTCTCGTTGACGGCGGAAAATAAAGTCACTGAGGATCAAACGGTTGGTCTGTCTCGCCTTCCAGGCTGGAGTCCACGTGACCAGCCTTGTGCTTGGCTCGAGACGTTAAATGACATGGCTCGCGGTCAGAAGCACTGGCGCGTTTGTTACCATCTCCTAATTGGACTGCCTGTTTAAAGTGTGCCTGATGCTAACTTATCTGTGGAGTAATGCTTATTATGATGTAGAGCAGTGAAAGCCGCAAGGAAGCTGTCTCACCCATGTTGCCTTATCTTTACACGATAGTCAGATGTTTGTGACTCTAGGTTGTTGTTAAGGTGTATGCGACTTGAACAGAATACTTGCTTAGGGCGCTTAGGCTCTAAGATAGGTCCCCTTCTCCCCCACTTATTATTCCTCATTCTGTAAGTTATTGTGATTGTAAGGCAGCGAAGTAGCAGTTCGAATCGCTGCTGATGATGAGTTGGCGACTGGTCAAAAGTCTTGTGCACGGATGCAAGAGCCTTTGAACTTGAACTGCCTAAGTCATCCTGGTTATCTTTTCCGTATTCTATGTGATTTCCGACCACATGGAGGTGAGCTGTTTTCAAACAATGTTCCTGCTTGAACAGAACATTACTGTGGTCAGATGCTGACATGGTAAAGAGGTGTGATGTACTTCATCGAGAAGCCCAATTGTTCAACAACATTCTGCCAGCCACTCAAGTATGATTAAACTGCAACAATGTAATGCGATATACATGGCTTCGACGACAGCAACGGTCGCTCACTATACACCTAACAATGGATCGCAAAATGTTTCTCAAAATCCTGTGTAGGACAATACGGCAAAGGCTACTAACAAGACTGAATTGTAAACACCACTGAAGCGGACGCAAAAATGCATACAGATGGAAGGAGCCTCCGTTTTCACGCCCACATGTTTCCCATGCATCCATAACAAGGAATTCACTTCTCGCGCGAGTTTTGCTGGATAACAGCCTAACTGCAATCATGTCGAATCTTTTGTAGTTAATCCACAGAGTCAAGTGGTGAAGGGAAAATGTGTATGAGTAAGAGAAACCGGTCCAAATGCCGGGGTGTGGATTGTACGGTTGTGGATTAAAGAGGAAAAAGTGAAAAATGTAGGACAGTATGGCGGCGCTACAGGAACTAATTTAGAATTCGAAAGAACGCCGATATCGGCGTACAAACCATTATCTACAAAAAAACGAAGAAACCTACTTCGATTTCGTGTTTGCCCGAATCGAATGTCATCGAATAGTATGCCTCCTCTACAGTGCTCAGTATCTCCCGAATCGTCTGAGGATCCTTTAGAAAGCTGCAATTAGCTGACAATTGCTAGTGGAAAAGGAGTTCGTGAGGTATATGAGCGCTTACTTCATACAAACTAAGAGGGAATGTTGAGGCGTTGAAATCTTCTGCGATTGCGTCGAGTTCATGTTGCTGTTGTGTTTCCTGAGCATCAGGATGTGCTGCGTTTGTGGAACGCTGTTGGTGAAATTCCGGGGAGCCAGACTGCGGACGTACGAGTCTGTGCTGTGAGGCAGAAGAAAGGAACAGCGTAAGGAAGTACCGAGATGCATATTTGTGACGAATTTGCAGTGGATAAAATGGACTCATTTTGCAATCGGTATAAAGATCAGAACATAAATATGTGATGCTACTCAGGCTCTAAAACACTGCATTTGTATCAGTTTATTTGCGCGTTCCGTCCAATCTATTCCATTGAACGTCCAATAACTATGTAGTCTTCTTCCGTGGATCACACTCTTTCCTTATATCACAGACAAGTGCTGAGGTGCCGTTGTCGAAACGCGCAGTGCCTAAGCCTATGTCTGTTAAGTCACGGAATAGGGAAAGTGAAATCTTCTTCTGTTTGATTACACAAACTGGGTTGCACTTGGGGAATCGCCGAAGATTGAATCGAGTGAATCGGATGTGACTTCCTCGTTTACTACTTAACTAAAATGGTCCACGTGGGTTTTGACCAGTAAGACAGTTAAGTATGTGCTGGAAAAAATAGCTATCGGGTAACTTGGAGATGTCTTTGAACACGTTGCCCAGATACCCCTTCAGTTAACGCTTGAATCCGTAGTACAGAAAGAAGTGAAACTGATGAGGTCGTACAACTCCAGGAGCCGGTTTACAGCAAGAGTTGAGAAAATATAAAACGCGGTAAACATTGCCATGCGTACCGATTCCGAGGTCGGTATTATAACGCTTAGTGCTGCAGATATTTCGCTGGAGGATGTGAATCAAACATCACCATGCGAGAGAACCCAGTGCTAGTTGCCACGCGTACGAGGTAGTGAAACAGTAGCTCAGCACGCAAAGTATACCAGGAATTTGAAGTAACGATGAATGATCAAACACGATAAGCAGATCGAGTCAAGTACACAAAGGAATGGACTTCTCAGTGGACTGTAATCGACAGATATTCCTGAGTAGATAGAGGTTCGCAGTGACCAAAATTGGGTTCAGTTTTCCGGCTACTAATGGGAGAATGCGATGTTGCTTAGCTGAATTCGGCCGGTCAGCTAGGAGCGAAACATAGATCATAAGGTCTGAAATTGTGGGGTGCGTCCACGTCTTTGATCTTCTCTGCGTATGAAGCATTGTAGGCACCGGATGGTGCCAGCGTGATCGCAATGACGATATGCACAGGTGAGTACGAAAATATAATCAAATAAAAATAGCACTGTCCAAGTAGGGGTACGGGGAAGGAATACCACCTCTGATAGGGGACCTGCCATACTCTCCGGGTAGTCCGTCTATGATCTCCACCTGTCACTCAGCTCTCACCTGTGGCTCCAAGAAGCTGCTTGCACGCGGCAGTGGCCATACCCCAGTCAACCGTCAGGCAGACGGGATAAACTAGGTGAGGGTAGCCGGGAACACTATTCTCGGTGAGTTCGTACCCGTGTGCAACGTCAGTCCTGACAACTGGGTGCAAAAGATCGATCTCTGATCCAAAGGCAAGAAGTTATGACAATTGCATAGATCCCTGCTGCCTTGCAGGTAACACTTGGCTGTAAAAAGGCTAGAGGTGAACCCTCGAAAAGAACCCGGATGAGGTTGGGGTCCTCATACGTACCCGTAATCCCCACGAAACGTCATGATATGTCCGTTACCCGCGATTCTTCTCATGCTACGGCGTTCCCGGTAGGCAATGCGCTCTGCTCTGACCTAGTGTCCAGAATGACAAGTAAGATAGCTGGGTCCCTCTATCCCCGAAAGCCATTATTCATTGGATGCGTCGCAACGAGACTGGACCTTAACGTGGTGCGACGGTTTGCGTACCTCATTGACCCACTGAGCTATACTGGGTGATACCTCCAGGATCCTTGAGAGCTACTCCTACCAGGTTGGTCAATGGTGAGAGGTCAGACAAACTCAGTCTCCTGGTCCTCCAGGTTGGGGGTTTGAAATGGGATGGCGTCCATTTCTGTGAAACTAAATCATTGATACCTCCCCGCTGCCTTGTGGACAGGCTTTTGAGTCGAAGGCTTTGGATGAGGACCCTAATCGTCCTCCTGTCTAGGTCTGGGCGATTTGGCAGTATCTCATCCCACATACAAGCATGACATTTTCTTCAAACATAAACTTCATCCTGCATCCCCCGTCGCGCAGATTATCAAGGGTCGCCTTATCTGCTGCATACAGCAGGGCGGATAAGCGAAAGCATGCTACTTCTGGAGCCTCCCTTCTTTTTTTCCACCTTTTTCTCTTACTCCCATCCCGACCCCCATTAATAACCTTCTATAATTCCCAGCTTAATTGACAGCAACCGAAGTGCCACTGGAGTAGAACCATCTGCAGCCACCATCCCACCACACCTATCGGCAAAAGTCCCTTATAAGGCCACGCTATCCCGTGTCCATGGCGACATTCAACGTTCGCACTCTAGACAAACAGGTCAACAGGCTGCACTCGCACGTACCGTGGACCCACTGAGTATTGGTGTGGGTTGTGTGTCCGAAACTAGGATCAATGACCCTAACGAGGTTATTGAGTTAACTGCACCCGGCTTATCCTCTCGTTATTGGTTGCACGCATCCGGAGACGCCGATGCAACACTCACGGGTCAAGCTGGTGTAGATATCATTCTAAGCTCCAACACTGTGCCATTTTACCTACCCTTCCCGTGTACCATTCACACCCATTTTTACCTGATTCCTCTACAACGATCAATCCCACCTACACTGATGAACCCGTTCCCGTGACATCTGCCAACTCAACCACACAGTACTCAACAGAGTGTTGCCGGTCCCAAAGTCGCCCATCTTCGCTCCTGCAACCCGGAACGCAGTTCAAACTTGCAGCTTTTAACGTACGCACATTACTGCAGATCGGTCAGCAAGCTGGGGTTGCACGCACGCTAGAGACCCTTGGAATTGATATCTGCTGCCTGACTGAAACACGACTCCAGGACTCTAACTCGGTCTACCAGCTGGTGTCACCGCTCCACCCACGCACCCGGTTCCATCTCCGCCTCTCTGGTGACGCCGAGTCTGCCGCATCTGGGCAAGCCGGTGTTGGAATCGCCCTCAGTGCTAGAGCCGAGACTACTTTGATTGATTGGATTCCGATCAATAGCCGCTTTTGTGCGATGAGGCTCCATGGCTCTTGTAAGATCAGCAGATGTCGAGTCGAAAAGCGTGCTCTCTTCGTGATCTCTGCCTACGCGCCCACTGACTGTAGCTCAGACATCGTTAAAGACCAGTTCTACCAGAACCTTCATGAGCTGCTCTTAAGGGCTCCTAAAACAGACATCATTGTTTTGGCAGGTTACTTCAACGCGCGTGTCGGTCGTCTGCTGCCATGTGAGCGCCACCTCGGAGGACCGCATGGATATGATGATGTTCGCTCAGACAATGGAGAGAGACTGCTCAGTCTTTGTGCTGATCATCAACTATTCCTCTCCAGCACCAGCTTTCGTCATCCTGGACGCCAGTACGCCACTTGGCGTCCCCCATCATCAACCCAGCGCTGGTCACAGATTGACCACATAGCTATAAGTCGCAGGTGGCGCGGCAGTGTACGCGACTGCCGATCATTTTGGTCAACATGCGTCGACACCGATCATGCACTGGTGTGTGCGACCGTTTGCATGCGTTTTGGTGGTTCGCCTAGGTCAAAACACACCCGACTGAACGCCTACAAGTTGGAGGACCCAATGGTGAAGAGAGATTATCAACAAAAGCTTCGCGAAAAGCTCCCTCTCTCTCACACTCTGGATGTTGATCAACACTGGTCAAGTCTCCAGCAAGCCTTGTTGTCGGCCGGTTTGTCCAACTGCTGCCTCACTCGCTCCACTCCCAAATGCTGGATCTCGGGAAGATCATCAGAATTTCTGGATCGTCGACGGGCGGTGCCTGCTGGCGCAGAGTACAACGAACACCGCCGGTCTATTACGCAACAGCTGAAAGCAAGCCTTCGCTCTGATCGTGAACCTTGGTGGTCAAAACAAGCTGGTGAGATGGAAGCCGCTGCATCAGCTGGCAACTTCCGCCGTCTGTTTTACATCATCAGGGCCACTGGTTGCAATTCCCACGCTATCAGTCAGACGATTTGCGAGGCAGATGGCACGAAGATCACCAACCTTCACAGACGATTGGGTCGCTCGTCAGAGCATTTCGCCCTTCAATTCAACCACCCAACACAGGCCCCTGCGACACCTCCACCCCCAATGTATGATGCTTGGCCTGCCTCCACGGCCCCCCCAAATGAAGCAGAGATTCGAAATGTAATCCAATCTTTGAAACGCCACAAAGCTTCGGGTCCCGACAACCTACCACCAGCTCTATTCAAAGATGGTGGGAGTGTACTTATCAGCGAAATCCTATCGCTGTTCACGAAAGTTTGGACTGAGGAGAAGGTTCCGAGCTCATGGGGAGAATCGGTCATTGTCCCGACTCACAAGAAGGGTGCCCGCGCCGATTGCCGCAACTACCGCGGAATCTCCCTAATCTCTGTCGCATGCAAAATCTTTGTGTCGGTCCTACTTGGCAGGCTTTCAACGACTAGAGAGGAGTTTTCCCAAGAATAACAAGCCGGATTTCGTCCAGATCGCGGCTGCATAGACCATATCTTCACGCTTCGGCAACTTCTCGAACTTCGTCACATTCACCGGCGGCCAACTATCGTAGTGTTCTTGGACATAAGAGCAGCATTTGATTCAGTAGATAGATCTGCATTGTGGAACTGTTTACTGAAGAAAGGTGTGCCCGACAAGTTTGTAACCATCCTGAAAGTACTTTACAGTCACACGTCGGGCAAAGTTAGGGCTTACGGCACGCACTCCTCTTCATTCGCTGTGACCAGCGGTGTTCGCCAAGGTTGCCCTATTTCACCTTTCCTCTTCAATTTCGCCGTCGAAGATGTTCTACAAAGAGCACTGGAAGGTGTCCAGGACTGCGGTGTTGAGCTTCTCCCTGGAGAAAGAGTCACGGACTTGGACTACGCCGATGATATCGCCTTGCTGTTGGACGACCCACAATCCGTCCAGAACGCTCTGGACCGCTTGGCGATGGAGG